GCCATTGCCACCAAAATGGGTCGTATCTTCCTGAAGGTGGCTGGCAGCCTAAAGGAGCTGATAGATAGGTCTCTGTACACTGAGTGCCAGCTGGCTGAAGAGAAGGAATCCTCAGGCAACTCGAGCCAAGTTGTGCCAACAGCTTGTAAGCGGAACAATGAGGAGGCCATGGATAACGAACTGGGCTCTCAGCAGCAGACTGAGGAGGTAATCAGGGGGACATATGCTCACAGTTTCTGATTAGAAAAATAAGGAAGTAGTGATGATGGATTAAAGCCCATAGTCTCTCATGTTGAATGAAGGAATAGCCTAGAGGAGGCACTGAGTTCCTAGACCATAAGAGCCCAGTGTAGAATTTTATCAGTGAGTAGGGATATTTTGGTTATTAGCCATTTTTAGAAACCATGTCTGACTCAGGTTACTGAAGGTTTCGGATTGTAGGAAAACTCAGTAGGCCCAATCCCAACTCTCTGTTTATTGTAAGTGGAGTTCTAAGGGTGAGACTTCTTTTATGGACTGGGTCCTACTTCTAGCCACATGTGTTATGGACTCAAGTCTCCAGAGAATTTCATCAACTTAGCACTTGGCCACACTTTTTACACATCTGATAAATTAACCAGTTCTTCAACTTGCTGGTTTACTGAACGAAATCAGATAGAGTGCTTTTGGTCTAAGGAATTGTGGTTCTTATTTATGCTTTCTTCCCCCTTTCTCACAGCACCAGCATGTTTCGAAACGCTGTTACTACTTGAAAGAACATGTAGACCCCAAGGAGAGTCTTTATGACCACCTTCGACAGAGTGCACAGAAGCCCCCCACCAACAAGTAGTACTCCTTGAAGTCGTACATGATTTCTGACTTGGCTGCTAACTTGAGGACTGGTTCCTGGACCCATTCCATTCAGCTATTATCATAAACCTTGTTGCCTTCACCTTCCAGCCTTCCCCTCCAGGCGCATTATCTCCTTTTTGGTTGCCTTTACCTTCTCTTTCACCTACATGCCTGTGACCTGCCCTGACAATCAGTGTGGACTATAAGAGTGTATGGTGTATGAAGTTCTGAACTCCCATCAGCATCGTCATCATCATCAAGGCCAGTTTGAATTCTTGGTCCAGGGAGAAGTCTAGGCAGGAGAAATCATGTCCTACCTCCAAACACCTTAGAGTGTCTTGCCATGTGTCATCAGGCAAACTTGAGAAAACCCTTGTCCCATTCCACCTGGCAGGGAGCCTATAAAGAGAGAGATACCCACTTCTATACCACCCTTTCAAACCAGTAGACTCACCCTTATATGCCCCAACTCATAGTATCTAAATGGGTCTCCAGGGCCCTTGCCCTGTTTATAGTCTTGATCCTGAACCATTTGTTTTGACCCATAATATTAATAGTAGTGATAGTAATGGCTAACAATTGTTGGTAATGTACCACGTGACAGGTACAGGGTGAGCTATAAACCCTTGCCAAGCACCATCTCACTACAGTGTTATAGTACCTAACTTGTTGTGTTGTCAGCTTCTGATCTCTTGCTTATGGCCCTTGTCCTTTGGTGTGGAATCTCTAGCTATGACCTCTGGGTGATCCCCTCAGTTCTTAATTGCCCTTGCTCCCCTTGGCTGTTGTGCTTTATGGCCAGCACTCTTCTTAAGGGTCTTGGTGTCTAAACAGGTGTAGGTAGTTAGAACATAATATGAACCGTGTTTGCCTTCAGGTGGTGGGTTATAGGTGTTTTTTTTATTTTCTTCTTTTTACTGTTCTCTGTGATTTCCAGATTCACTACAGTAAGCATGTATTACATTTGTAATCATAAAAATAAAGGCCATTTGTGAAAAATGAATTAATTATGGACATTAGAATTTGATTTATTGAGTTCTCTAATTTTTTTAACCTTTATTTTGTGTGTGTATGGAGGGGGAAAGTTGCATATGTATGGGCAAGAAAATACTTTTTGGGAGTCGAGTCTCTTCTTCCAACATGAGCCTGGGCATCAGATTCAGGCTTAGGGATACATATTGGAAAGCTATCTTTCTTACCCTTGAGTTCTTTCAACACAATGAGTTGGCCACTTTTGGGGGACAGTTAAGACCTTTTCTCATATTAAAATTCCACCAAAATTAAGTAGGGGATATACAACAAGCAAGAATACATGGGAATCATACAGATAAGATGACTTGAAAACAAGAGGCAGGAAAACAGGAAATTTTATAGAAATAGGACCAATTTATTTGTTCAGTAAAAATGGCTGTAGTGTAGTATTCAAAGATATTTTAAAAACAGAAGAATTGATAACATTTGAAACATTATGGAAATCTATGTTGGTGACAGTTTGGAGGTAGGGTAGAGGAAGGGGTCAGAGACAGTTGGATCCCCCGATGCAATAGTCCAGGAGACTGGTTGGCCAAATAATCTAGTGCTGTGGAAGGAATGCCAAGAACACCAAGGGAAGAACCAAAAAGCCGCTCTGAGTCTGCTGCCTCATTACGCTAAACATTGGATCTAATTCCAGGAAGAGGGAAATTATTCTCAGGAAAGCAAAGACTGGCAGACACTCTGACAGCCCCACAGCAGTGTACGTGAGAATCTGGCTGTAGGGGCTGCCTCCATTACTAGTGCTGTTGCCTCAGGAAAAAAAAAAGCTCAGTAAGTTGGGCAACACAAATTTCAGGCAAGGAGACAACCAGCCCCAGGGGACATAGTTTTCACCCTCTTTTCTTTGCCCATTGGCTTACATCTGGCCCAGTCCAAGTAGAGTGCGGATGTTCATGCTCAGCTAGAGTTGCTTTTATCTCAGAAAAGCAAGCAAAAATCTACTGAAAAAGAAATGTCTGATAGAGAAGTCATAACTCATGCCTGTAAAATGCATACAGGAAGGAAAATGTCTTCAAAATAAAACTCATTTTCTTATGGCCACGATAATGGACAGCAATGGCAATTTCTCAGTTCTCTTCCACAGCCGCTCATCTTCCTCTTGCTTTTTTTTTTCTTCTCACTATAGATAAATGGAACTGATGAAGGCCAATCACTCTTTCAGAGTCCATTCCCTTGTCCAGCAACCCTGGCAGCTATTTTTAGAAATATTTCAAGAGCCACTCAGCATCTTCATGGAGCCAGGCTGTCCTATACCCAAGTACTTGGGACCATTTTTGTCAGATGGAAAAAAATGGTGGTTCATGTTTTTCTATACCTCACACTTATGGATAAAAATAACGCCCCAGAAGCAAGCAGAACTTAGATAACACCAACTCCTGCCCTCACCTGTGTGTTTTAGAATCCTTGAGAATTTTCTGAAGTTCTTTGGGGGGGAAGATTTCAGTAGAATTACACTGCTTGTTGTTTTTTGACTGATCCACTGCCTTGTGGCAAGCACCTTGCTCCATGACCATGTAGGGCCACCACTTGACCCAACTTTAGCTGAAGAAGGAAACACAGAGGCTTACCGTAGCTGGGAACTTGGATTCTGGGACACAACAATGAGAGGTTTAACTAGTACTGGCCTCCAGTTACAATTTGGATCTGAAAAGACCCTTAAATATAGGCTCGTATGTTTGAGCCATGTTGGAAACTTGGTCAGCAGCTGGTTGCACTATTTTGGGAGGCACTGGAAACTTTAGAGGTAGAGTTTTTGGAGGAAGTAGGTCAGGAGAAACTCTATCTCACTTTGGTCCCTTTTGCTCTGTCTCTTTCTGCTTCTTGGGTACCATGGATTGAACAAATTTGCTCTGCCACATCCTTCTGCCATCATGTCACTATTATCCAGAAACAACTGAGCCAGTGACCCATGGACTGAAACCTTGGAAATCGTGAGCCAAAATAAGTCTTTATTCATTTTGAGGTGTTTATGTCAGGTGTGTTACTATAACAATGAAAAGTCTAACACACCTTTGGACAGATTTAGCTTTATGCTTTTGCAAGAAAACCACTATCAACTTTGAGAGTCAGGTGACCATACTGATCTTATTTTAGACTAGGAACTTTAGGCACAGAAATGTTAAGTAACTGCCCTATCTTAGTCACTTTCTATTGCTGTGAAGAGACACCATGACCAAAGAAACTCATAAAAGAACACATTATAGTTTCAGAGGTTGAGTCCATGATCAGCATGTTGGGAAGTATGGCAGCATAGGCAGATGTTGTGTGGGTGAAGTAGCTGAGAGTTCTACATCCTGGTCTGCAGGCAGTAGGCAGAGAGAGACACTGGGACTGGTTAGGCTTTTAAAACCTCAAAGCCCACCCCTAGTGACACACATTCTCCAACAAGGCTACACCTTGTAATCCTTCTAATCCTTTCAAAGAGTTCCACTTCCTAGTGCCTAAGCATTCAAATATAAGAGCCCATGGAGGCTATTCTTGTTCTTACCACCACATGACCTGAAGCTAAGAAAGCAGTAGGGCTGGGATTTGAACATGTGAAATCTGTTCCCAGATGCCTATACAAGGAAACACTTGTACATATAAAGCTTTGTTATTTTTAGCCTTGATGACCCCTCAGAGGGCTCACTGAACAAATTTGCTGCTGAACATCAGCCAATATTTGAAGCTTATAACAGTGGAAGTCTGAATAAAAAGTAATCCTGCTCACCCCTTTACCCCAACATGAATTTTTCTTTCCATATGGGGAAAATTTTCAATATTCAGGGAACAGAATCAATCACTATGGACTATCATTAACCCTAGGAATTTATGCACACACTCTCAGATTGTAGTCTTAGAGTGAGCAGCCTCAGGTCTGAGCTATGAACTATTAAGGAAGCTAAACTATCCCAAGGCATCCTCTCATTGGCCAGGAAGAAGTCTTGGGCCCAAGACTCTGCATCGGGAAGAGATTTTGATGGTCATGCCAAGTGCTAAGTCTTCTTTGTCAGTACTAGTTTTCTGGTATTTTCACTTTTCCATCATGAAAAGGGGCACATGAATAAGGAAAGGAAGTTATTAATTGTTGTGCTAGGAAATATTTCCACACTAGCCCAAAATGGAGTATAATAAAAGCTTATTTGTCTGTTTCATGCATTTTGATGGCACGGTACTAAAAGTGAAACTATCCAGAGAAGATTAGCATGCCCGTGCTTAAAGACTACACACCAATCCATACAGCAGTGCATTTTCAAATTTTTTATTTTATTTAGAGTGTATATACATACATATATATACATATATATGAATGAATCCATGAGTTAATATGTGCATGTGCCTCTCACTTTTCACCCTAACCTCAACTGTGTTATTGTACTTTGAGAATCATGAAAAGAGGTTAAGAAGGCAGGTTCTACCTATTGACTCAAACTGGCCACAACTTTTTTTGCAGTCATGTTTAATTGTGGTTGCTTACAAATGAAGGTGCATGCAAGCTTGCATGAGAAGTTTACCACACATCCATAAACTCTATTCCACATTGGAATTTCCAGGAATTCGTGCTCATTCTTTTGTGTATTCTTCTTCTTCTCATTAAAAGTTAAGATAAGCCAAACAATTGGTTTATTGCCATGGTAATAAATCATTGACTCTTCCCTTTTCTGACATCAACAAACTTTCCGTATCCTGATCACAGAAAGTCAGCCAGAGAACGAGGGATGGGGGCATATAATAAATGGGATAATAATAAAACAAGGTATGAATCTGGGTTCCAATCCTTGGTATATCAATGATAAGCTGTGTGACTTCGGGGAACTTACTTGGTCATTCTGAGCCTTAGTTAACTATCATTGTTAGATTCTCACTGGAGAGTCAATCTATGTGGCACATCCTTTTCTGTTTGAACATGTTCTGGGTGTCTGAAGGGGTTCAATTGATTTCATGTGACATGGGGAGAGGACTACTGGGGCCCAGGCCCCGTCTGAGCCATTGCTAGAGGGCAGCATTGTACCAGCCATTATTCTAATAAAGCTGCTTGGGGTGCGGTCAGCTCTGGATGCTTTAATTGAAAACTGTAGTTTCTTTCTCGTCCATAAAAGACATTTTTGCAAACGGAAAGTAATTTCTGAAGAACTGCAGAGCAACCAGGAAGAAAAAGGGGTTTTGGCTTCCTGCAAATTCCATTGTTCATTAACAATTTGAGAAGGAAAAAGGGAAAATGATGCATTTCGATTTCTAATATAGCCTCTTTCTTTTTGTCTCCTTCAGCTACAGTTGTGCAACTATATTTTCCCTTTTGAAAATCCCATCAGCACCATCAGGAATCTATCCAGAGGTTTGACTTTAGTCTACAGACAGAAAATCAGGACACTTCAATGACTCTCTTTTCAATGACTTTTTTTTGACAACCAAAAAGTAAACATTTAAGAAATGGGTCCATTATAAAGAGTAATTCAGAAGGCCCTTGTTAAATCTTCTGATTGTTTGCCACATCTCACAATGGCTAAAATTCTCTATTTCAGTGTGGCATTCTAAGTCACCCTGGTCTGGAGACTATATATAAAGTCTGTTCAACTCACTTAGCACTGCTTTGATGTTCTTCAGCTATCGAAGTTTCTCCAGTACCACTGAAGACACCCCTTCTTCAAACTTGAATATGCACACAGGCTATTATCAAGCGAGGTGGGGCTGTCTGCCTCACATGGGATACGTTTATAAAGACGGGTCTCAGTGTTCACCAAAGAAAAGATGGACTAGGCACGTTGCTACCATTAATAAATGGTGACACATACTGCCGTTTACACAACACTCTAATTATTGGTAATAGCTGCTTAGAGTACTATTGAAAATAATTCTAGAGTCACAGATAGGTTCTTTTGGAAAGATCCAGAAGTTTTCAGGCTCAGGATAGCTTAATTCATGATTTTTCAACTTCCCAATGGGAGGAGTAGTTGAGAGTCCTACATCTTGCAGGCAACAGGAAGTTGACTGAGACACTGAGCATAGGAAACTTCAAAGCCTGCCCCTACAGTGGCACACTTCCTCCACCAAGGTTATACCTATTCCATCAATGCTAATTGTGCTTCTTCTTATCAGATTATGGAGACCAATTACATTCAAACTACCACAGTGAAACTGAGCAGTGCCACTCAGCTAGACAATTATGAGGGGAAAGAACTCTGTAGTGGACTGTGTTATTAAGCTCCAATGCTTGCTAGGTTGGTTCTATTAATGTATTTTCCACTTTTAGTATTCTTCATCTTTGGTTTTAGTAATGCCTATTAAGAACAGAGGGCTGGCTATACAAGTTGATAAAATTATCATCCTTCAGGTAGAATCATGTAGCTAACTTTACCAAAATAATTCATTATTAATTTACTAGTTTAACTTGTTATTAACAATATTAGAAACCATACTTTATAAATAAAAGTAGGTCATCATTGAAAGAAAAGTGGAACATTTCATAGAATATCTAGGTTTTTGCTGACATGAGAGTGGCATGTAGCTCTTCATCAAAATTTCTGAGAACCAGGAAATTGAACACCACCAATATTCTTTGTCCTTCTGCTCCTCTTCTGTATATCTCTCTGCATAGTTGGTAGGCAATCTGATTTTCTGGATTTGCAATATCCAGTATGATGATCACCTGTTACAGGTATATATTGAGCAGGTTAAATGTGCTCAGTACAAATTGTGGTATGCTTGCTGTTAAGTAGAAAAATACAACATGCACTGGATTTTGAAGGTCAAGGACAAGAAAAATGGGAAGTAAACCATTGCACTAATTAAAAAATATTGATTACATGATGAAAAATAATATATGAGGTGCATTGTGCTAGGTAAAGTATATTGTTAAAATCGAAGTTAAAATTGTTAAAATTAAAGTATACTGTTAAAATACATTCTTCTGAACATAGTCATTAGAAAACTTGAAATTACACACTCGGCTCACAGTATATATCTGTTGACTGTGCTGGTCAGCAGCTTTATAACTAACTCACAGCTACTTGGGGAGTGATTGGGTTCTCTAACAACAAAGCACAAAAAGCAGGAGAAAAGACCTTATCAGTAGAGTTAAATGAAATGCCCATTTCTAGAACATTCCTACATTGCTTGATGGGGAGGTTAGTATGAGCACATGGCATATCCTGCTGGGACATGAAATTGAGGTGGGCAGAAAGAATATTCCAAGAAGAATGGAGGGGACTGAATGAATAAAGTAGTAGGTGTTCCTCAATCTGTAATCATCCTAAATTGTTAACTGCTTTGGACCTATAGCATGGCAGAAAAGAGCTAGGTTGGGAAAACTAAACTGATTGCTGGGAGAAAGAAGGCAGAATCAGGAGATACCATGTAGCCGCCACAGGGGAAAGATGTGAGGTGTCAGCTGGGACCTTGCAGGTAGTCCACAAGCCTCATAGTAAAATATAAAATAATGGAAATGGGTCAATTATACACGTAAAAGCTAGCTAGCAATGTGCTTAAGCTATTGGCCAAACAGTATTGCAAATAATATAATTTCTGTGAGATTATCTCAAGTCAGGATAGCCAGGGACAAACAAGTGGCCTCTTGCAACACTAAATGTCTTTTTTTTTTAACCCTCAGGATCCCCCAGCCAATTATTCAGCAAGTTCCACTTCTCTCCATCATTAATATATCTATCACTGTTAGTTCATTCACTGTCATCTCAGCTAGGGTGGAGACAGTACTGGTAAATGATTTTTTAAATAAGCTTAAAGTATAGCCAAGTGACTGTTGCTCCTCTCAAAAATAGTGTTTGTAAAAAGGTCAGAATTACAACCCAGTTGTATTGTGGTTAATGCATGTTATCAATGCTAAGTTCGTTTGCTTTTCTGAGAATAGTACAGGCCCTATTTACCAGAGCCATGGTGACATTTACAAAAAAAAAAAAACTTATTGTGAGGATCCTTTAACATATAAAGTGCTATTGTAGAGATTGAATGATGCTATAAAAATGGCCATGACATTTCCTTTAAAAATGTCCTAGTTTCAGGGACTGGTTTATTTAATATTCCTAGAAGGTGTGAATCTTGTTTCATGAAGATTTCTTTCTTCTGAATGCATTGAGTCAAATCTAGTGAGTGAGCTGTATGCTTAAGTTGGGTAATGATAAGTTGGGGAAGGAAGAGAAGAGGAGAGAGAAAGAGAAAAATGAAGCAAAGGAGGAAGAGAAAAGAAGAGAAAGGAAAGAGAAAAAGGAAGAGGAGAGGAAGATAGAAGACAGAAGAGGAGTGATACAACTGTCTTAGATAACAGATGCAGTGGCACACACACATCACACATGCACATACAGTTTCATCTTGGGGCAGTGAGGAGTCTGAAACTTCATTACGGATGCTACAGCCCCTGCATAAAACAAATCTGTAAATTTCAGTGGTTTTAATAAAATAGATTTTTTTCTTATTCATATGGTAGTCTGGTGTGGTATTCTTGATTAGCAGGTAACTTTCTTCTAGGGAGATATACCGTGAATACTGGCTGATTAGACCATGACTGCATTATAGGGACATTGATTCTGTCTATTGGTAGAAACCAAAGGCGACAGTAAATTATAGTTCCTGACTAGATAACTACTTCTTTATAACAATTATATTTTAAGAAAAAGAAAATTTTCCCTTAATTTCTATATCACAATTGCACCAAAGAGTATCTTTCCAGGCTGGTCATTATTGTAGCCCACAGTGTTCATAGTTTAGTAAGGTTCCTTGACGCAATAGAGGCATAGATATTATTGGTTTAAACAACCACTTTTTGATTGGATTTAAGGCCCACTCCATAAGACAAAACTCATGACTTGTACTATAAAGTTGGCCAAGAACTTACAGTTGGGGAGCTAATAGTCCCTATGGGAGAATATACTACTATTATTTTGCTTAAATGGACACAGTATGAAGTTACCTTCCATACACTTATTGGTATACACATAGATCTTTGTTGCTCTCAGACTTCACCAGAGAAACTTTCTTTCTCCTCATTGGATGGCAGTTATCACAAACACTCACACTCATATAGACACACAAACCACACACGCACACAGAGTCAAAATGAAGGTTTCTGCAGTCTCACACAGGCTTCAGTACAGAGAGGATAATCAGACTACGCTATGTGGAGGATTTAGCTTTTGCTCATACAAACAAAAAAGATTGTGTTGCTGTATGCTACCTAATGCTACCTAATGGTGAAAGACCCTCGACGAGGACCTTTTCTCGGGAGACCTCCCCAATGCCAAGGAACAGGCCG